TACTCGGTACACGAAGTGCCTGCATTCGAATTATCCTTTAAGCGGGCGTTCATATTCGTGCAGGTCAGACTGACTTGCTTACAAAAAATAACTTTCTTAAGAATCCGCTAGGCTCATTAGGACGTAGTTTTTCGTGAAAAACGATCGTCCTCTAATTTATCATTCCGCGCAAGGAGGTTGCCTTGGTCTGTTGTGTTCGTTTGTGTATGTCGTAATGAATCGTGCTGTGCAAAAATACGCAATCGAAGACTACATGCAGATGGTTCATTTTTTTTATCTTGCCGGAGGAAATCTTGAAGAAGCTGCTCGCCAATACCGTGCTCGTTGGCCTCTTCATCGTCATCCGAATCCAGAAACGATTGGTGCTTGTCACCGTCGTTTTATGGAAACGGGCAACGTTTTACCATTTCGCGGGGATGCTGGTCGCCCACGTGAGGTTTTAGTGCCAGAAATGAAAAAGTTGATTGAGGACATGTTCGAAAATGACCCTCGAACATCAGTTCGTGCTGTCGGACGCCAGCTAAATGTTACCCCTAGCAGAGTCCACGCTGTTATAGCGGATACCGGGAAGCACCCGTACCACTATCGGCGCGTGCAAGAGTTGCTGCTTTTTGTGGCGGTTTTTTGGCCCAAGCATGTGCTGATGCTCATTTCATTAATACGATCTTGTGGACTGATGAGTGTACATTCACTAGGAATGACATGCTCAATCAACATAATTATCATTTCTGGGCTCATGAAAATCCTCACCTGGGCGACGAGTTTCCAGTATCGATGGAGCATAAATGTTTGGGGTGAATTCATAGGAAATATCGTCGTAATTACTTATTACCATTTTACTTCTTCATTTTTTGAGAAATGAAAAAATCTGATAAGAATTTATTAACGTTCTAATATCAACCCTTCGATTTACTTGATTTGTAGATTGGTCCCGTGTTTTTGCCTCCTCGGCTGAGCGGTGCAGCGTATCTCGATTTTCGAAAATAACAGTTACCTAGAAATTTAAGACCTATCGACACGCAGATTGGAAAAACAAGCATAATTATCCGCGCTGAGCCATCGCGCTCAACGCGTAAGATTTTCTTGCATTTCTAAAATTACTTTTAATTTTTTGAATGATAGAGCTTTGTATGGATTAAATGCTAATCCTTTTTCAGTAAAATATTACACGTTAAAAAGATGTGCCGCATAAATGCACTTGACGCGATTAATCTTGTTTTTATTTATTAATTTTTATTCATTGAAGTTAATAAAACTATAACGTTTAAGGATATAAATAAATTAGACCAAGTAAATGCATAAGATGCGCTTCTCTTTTCTAAAAATTTTATTTTTATCTTAAAGCAGTATCAAAATTTAGTAGATGTTCCTTCATAGATGAAAAAATAAAGGTGAACAAAAATAAAAATTGGGACTTCTGCCTATCTAACACACTTACCATACTTAACCTTACCGCCTACTTTAATTTTTAATGCTGTGGACGCTAAAGGGATTTAGCATAATTACGTTGTCATCTTAGATAATAATGCGATCAACGTAAGAGCTTTGCGATAAATAAACAAGCTCGATGCACGGTATTTTGAATTTTTTTTCATTCATTCGTCATGTGGTACTACACTGACCAAGAGGTTCAAGACCTATCGAAACGCTGATTGGAAAAACAAGCATAATCATCCGCGCTGATCCATCGCGCTTAACGCGTGAGATTTTCTTGCGTTTCTAAAATTACTTTCAATTTTTTGTTTGATAGAGCTTTGTATGGATTAAATGCTGATCCTTTTTCAGTAAAATGTTACACGTTAAAGGGGTGTGCCGCATAAACGCACTTAACGCGATTAATCTTGTTTTTATTGGTTAACTTTTATTCATTGAAGTTAATAAAACTATAACGTTTGAGGAAATAAATAAATTAGACCAAGTAAATGCATGAAATGCGCTTCTCTTTTCTAAAAATTTTATTTTTATCTTAAAGCAGCATCAAAATTTAGTAGATGTTCCTTCATAGATGAAAAAATAAAGGTAAACAAAAATAAAAATTGGGGCTTCTGCCTATCTATTACGCTTACCATGCCGAACCTTACCGCCTACTTTAACTTTTAATGCTGAGGACGATGGAGGGATTTAGCATACTTACGTTGTCATCTTAGATAATAATGCGATCAACGTAAGAGCTTTGCGATGAATAAAGAAGCTCGATGCACGGTATTTCGAATTTTTTTTTCATCCATTCGTCATGTGGTACTACACTGTTCAAGAGGTTTAAGAACTATTGAAACGCTGATTGAAAAACAAGCATAATCATTCGTGCTGAGCCATCGCGCTTAACGCGTGAAATTTTCTTGCGTTTCTAAATTTACTTTTAATTTCTTAGACGATAGAGCTTTGTATAGATGAATTGCTCATCCTTTTTCAGTAAAATCTTACACGTTCGAGAGGTTTACCTCATAAACGCACTTGACGCGTTTAATCGTAATTTTATTTATTATTTTTTCATTTCCTTAAATTAGACTAAAAAGTTCAATGAAATAAAAAAATTTGACCGAGTAATTACGTGAAATGAGCTTCTTTTACAGTATTTAGAAAACTAAAATTTCATTTCCAAGTAGTTTAACGTTAAAAGATCAAGAGTTTTACTGAGTATTCGAACTTAACGCAGGAGATCCTCTCACATTCTGGTTTTTTTTATCAGGCGATGCAAGCTCAAAAAAATTGGAATTGAATTGTTTTTCTGTGAAATTTACTCAGAAAAAAATATGCACTGTGTAAGCCTAGTGAACGTGCGTAATTATTCCTTAAAAATCAGATCTCCGGTTAAAATACTTCGGCCTTGCTATTTGAATTTTGCGCTGGTACGGTAACTGATTAAATCTCTGCAGTCGGTAACCTTGTCTCCTGGCATACCTATTACCACCTTCCCCGTTAAAGAGTTTATGCGTAGTCGCCCCTCCAAAATGCTTAGGCCCCGTCTCCTGAGGCTAAGTGCTCTGCGATTGGTGGAATCGATCGATTATTAAATCAACAATATCTTGTTAATTATCCATCGAATCCAAATTTTGTAAAGAACCATTCGAGAGCTTTTGATGAGCTTTATCTCGTGATAGAGTTTTTCGGGCTTAAAATCAGAATGCCCTGTAAATATATATATGTGTCTGTTTCTATATGGGTGTTAATGTGTATGTATGAGTGTGTAAATTTAGTCTTAGGCGTAAACAGTGCTTAAATGTGATAAGATTTTGACTCTACCAAATACTACACGAGTAGCTATATTTTGTACCCTTAGATTTTATGAATTTGGCTATTGTACAAAACTATGTTGTAATAATTATTACTAAGTTACAGCTGGATTGTAAATTTAAACATTGACTCTGTAATATTACTTCTGAATAAATTCAGTGTTCATACCTCTCATGAGGTCAAAACCTTAAATTAAAAAAGTGTGTGTGTGTGTGTGTGTGTGTGTGTGTGTGTGTGTGTGTGTGTGTGTGTGTGTGTGTGTGTGTGTGTGTGGTGATCAATGAAGCATTCTGGTCGCTTACTTAATCTATAGTAAATAAAATAATAACCCAAGCGCCAGTCACCACACAACTCGGGACGTTGCCTGGTTGCTTTAATTATTTATGATGAATAAAATAATAATGCAAGTGCCAATCTCCACACAACCCAGGGCTTCTTGGTCGCTTTAATTATTGCCCCCTTTATTTATTGATTAAATAAATGTAATAACGCAAGTGCCAATCCCCCTGTAACTGGGGCCGCTTACTGGTTACTTTAAATATATGTATATGGTGATTATTACAGACAGTGCTGTCTGGCAGACTGTATGCATATGTACATAAAGCACGAGATAACTGTAGGCATTCGTATTAGATGTTATTACTATACATGTATGCATATATATACACCGTAACTATAACCTCTGTAGTTAAAGCTCTTTAACAATAGACAAGTATCCTTATCACTATACCTTTTTTAATTTATTTTTAATTTATATAGAAAGTTATATTTAAAATATTCTTTTAAAAAATCAATATGGACGCTTTGTTAGTTGCTTACGATTAAAAGAGGGGGGGGGGCTGTGTAAACATGAAAGATATGCTAAATGAACACAGTTAGTTGCGTCAACCCGATTGGAATTTACAAAAAAGGATGTGGTGCACTTATTTATTCACCGGAAAATAAAGTAAAATACGTCAAGTAAGCAAAATACGTCTAGAACAGGGTGTCTACACAAATCACAGCAGAGTCATGCAAGTACCGCAAGTGTACCCATGATACTAAGCTAAGTATGAGGCATTCCTAAAGCTGGCTGCACATTGACTGAAACCGATCGGTCTGATACCTTACATGGAGGCTAAGAAGAGAATACAATCTTTATATTGATACGCAAAGAAGTACTCGGTTGTCTCTAAGTTTGCTTACTTTTCTGCCAGAGATACTGTTCGTAAGTTGCAAAAAAACAAAAATAAAAGTAATTGACATTATTTGAAATAAAAAGTTAGACATATGGGTTACATGACTGGTAACAGAAAATCTTCGCAAAAGGGCGTGATCAACAAGTATGGAAAAACTTCTTTTGTCTCAGACGTAACGATAAAACAATTATGAGTATAAAAATGCTAGTTAATATCCTTGAAAGAGAATTCTAAATATCTCAATGAAGAAACCTATATTACAAACACTATAACAACGCTATTAACGTATCTTCTTCAAGGTTGTACCTTGTAAAGAGATGTCTCTTAAAAGCTAAGTAACCCTTGCGGTTTTTTATTAGAACGTTTTGAGAAAGACTAAAATGAAATATTCATTTTTGAAAGAAAATGTTAAATGAGTCTTTATTCCATGCAAAGATTCACCTGTCAGGCTATATAAAAAATATTTTCTAATTATAGTACATTATCTACGCATTTCATTTTCGTAGTAAAAAAAATGAAAATTTTACCATGAATAATATTTTTAATGGAATTAAAAAAAATTGTATTAACTTTTTTTATATTTTTCAGTTTCCACGAGTTGACCAATCTTCTCTAAAACAGTCAGGAATCGGAAAAGCTGTCATGTATCTTTATAAACATCCAAAAGAAACAAAAGAAAATAAAGAAAGAGCAGGAAAGTTGATCAATGAGTGGGCAAGACCAATTTTTAATCTTTCTACCGATTTTAAGGCTTTGTCGAAAGAAGAAAGGATGCAACGTGATATGGAACAAACACCTATAAAAAAAAGAAAAACTGACGATGAAATATCTTTTCAAAAATCACAGGATATAAATAGAGCGCTTAAAGGAGAATCCAAGTAAAGAATTGTTTCTAAGTATTTAATCCATTTTTCAATTAGCATTGCCTAATTAAACTTATCTTCCATATTATAACCACTTACATAGTAGGCAGAAACATAACTTTTTTCATAAAGCAAAACAAACAAGATAGTAACACTTTTTTTTTAACATTAAAGAAACACGCCAATCGTTTAACTCTCGTCTAGCTTTTTGACTCACTTCTTAATCACGCTGAAACGTTGTGGGATAAAGAAAATGTATTATTCATGTAATGTCTTAACTGCAAATTAATGTCCTTAGGTAGTTTAACAGTTACTCTGAACTATTATAATCCGAAATACAAATAACTCCATTATGTAGTACAATACGATCAATTTATCTCTAAAGTTATACTTCTTAAGTCGATCATTTTCAAAGTAATGAGTATTGTTATTTTCACCTTACAAATGATACAAAATTTTCAAGCTTTGCATTGTTTTTTTTGGTGTTCTTTTTCTTTATTTTTTTCTTTTTTTCATCTGACGTACAATATAAAATGGTAACCAAATTTTTTTAAATTGATTAAAATAATGCTCATAGGAAAATATGAAATAGTATTAATAATATTTTATTGCTGACCTAAATACAACAGTGTCTAGAGCAACAATTTTCGTTATTGCCATGCGCCTTTATGTTTATTCTTAATGATATGTTTCATGCTATAATTACCCGCCTTCTTTACAGAAGGCTTTGTAAAAGTTGTTTTGACAGTTACGCCTGCGTCAAAGGCTTGACATGCACTAAGCACAGATTATGTCATAGACTACATATTGAAAAACGAAACATGTTGACAAAAGTATAGAAAGCAATATTAAATAATTGATCGTAATTATTTACTATAATTATCATTTGGTAAAAAATGGATGTTTGTGGATTTGGGTCTCACGCTCCCTGACGGGCTGCAGGACTAGCAGACTGTCCAACTATTTGTTTGTTTGTTTGTATGTTGAGGAAAGGAAAAAAATAAATAAAAAAACGGGAATGTTAAGCTTTGTAAAATATATGTGTCCACATACTTTTTCTTTTTGCAGGTTGAATTCTATATGATTCCTCAGTACTACTTCTTTTGATATTATTAATTTTATTTGGTTTTCACTAATGGAATATTCTGCACAATCTGGTATACTTGTTCTTTTTATTTAATTTCACAATGAATTACAATAAATATATAAGACAATTGTAACAACTTAGATTGAAATATTGAATTAATAATTGAGAAGCACACTCGATGAGCAGTGGAAAGCTACTAACTAAAACACCGCCCAAAGAAATGCACCTTTTGCGAAGCTTTAGTTAAAACTTGTTTGTCTCAAATGCTATGGGGCTGGTACTTGCTGACTTAACGTGTTTAGACTTAGCGGCTCGTTTTGGTTGCCACTTGACAATTCCTAGAGCCACGAAGTACACAGTCGGCTTTGTTAGGTAAAGACTTTCGTTAAGTATGACTCTTTTGAGAGTCTTAAAATTTTATTATTGTGGGAATAAATATAATATAAAATAGATTAAAACAAAAATGTATTTATTCATGCTCGTCACTTAACAAGCAATAATAGTAAATATACAGTCGCAATAGGTATAAAATTAAAGTGTTCAATTGAATAACATTTTTTAGCATAGGGGATGAAGAAATATTTATTTTGGCACTTTTTATGAATGTATATTGCTTTATACTGAAAAAGGTATTTTAATAATGTATTATGCATTTGGAAAAAGTCAGTAAGAACAATAATAAGCTTATGTAATTGTATCAATGACTCGGTACTTAGTATTTAATTTTCAGTTAAATTAGAAAATGACAGTTGTTGACCTATTTAGATTTTATGTCATCGAAAGCTAACGAGTATTGTATTTGTTATTCGAAATAGTTTATTAAGGTTACTATGAATGCCTTCTTGTTTTTCAAACATACACTAGTATCTATTCTTTAAGCAAAAAATGGTGATGATAGAGAAGCTTTGTTATTGAAATGCTAAGAACACACAAACTTTAATTAATTTTAGTCAATGACAAAAAAGTGTGGTATTTTAAAGAAAATTTTAGTTAATCAAACTAATCGTACTGAAAGTAACGCCATACATCGTAGATGGGTCCAGCAAGACCCTTTTTCTCTGAACGTATACAGAAACATAAAAGTTTAATGTATAACTATTACAATACAAATCATAAATTGTTCGTACGTATTAAAAGTGCACAATTTTTTTAATTTTATTAGTACTGTTCCCAAACCATCAAATATTTCTCCTCTATACTATGTTTGTAGCTACGATGTACGTAACTACAATGTTCTCATCACAAAAACTAACTATCCACCTGAGTTTTATCTCCAGAAAAAAAAACTTTTTTCTATTCGGTCGTTGAGTGCATGGAGCTCACGTTGTTGGATAAGTAAGTAAAAATTAAAGGCGTTACTAATTAGAGTAAAAAATAGAACGTTCACTACAGATCCAAGGAAAAAGGTGCAGAATAAATTATTATGGTTACCTTACACTGATAAAGCAGTAGTAATAGTTGTATGATCAAGCAGCAGATAAATTGGTAGAATAAGTAGTCTAACATCAACGGTCACAATTTTATGTTTCTCCAAGTGATTCTAAAGTTGCATATTTTTTATAGAAAAAAAAAAGAAAAAAATAAAACGACATGAGAGTGTTTTCTTATGTATTTGTGACGTAAAATGAGATAAAAATATTCCGAAAATTCTTTTTCCAAAATTTCAAAGTTCGAAATAAAAAATTTTGCTAATCATAATTAGTTTTTTTTTTTCATAAACACTTTTTTTTGTCAACTTCGAAAACATTTTTGTTAGTTGATATTTTAACTTTAGTAACGGATTCAAAATTGTGCTAAAAGACAAAAGTACACATTTTATAGTAATTTTATTATTCACTGTAAATTTAAAAAAAAAAGCGAAAATTTCATTCGTGTAATTTTATGATTGCAGCCTATAATTTTTTTTTTTTTTTTTTTTTTTCATAGTTTATAGCCATTTCTGAAAACTGTGCCGAATAAGCTCTGCAATGCTGTGTTGATATACTTATATATGATATTGTAATCGGCGTAGTGAAAAATCGTCTCAGATTTAATTGTGATATCAATCATTTACACAGCAAAGAGGACGTTATTGAACATGGCTTCCGAACCATCGAACGACAGTTGGAATACGTAAATAAAAAAGTAGATTCTCAGAGATGCGAAACAAGTGAGATAAGGCCGAGTCTCAAACTCGTGAGCATGCGGTACCAATAAACTTATTATCATCAATTTAGGATTTTAGTTATAGACTTATAGGAGGGAAGAAAATTTACCGAATTCTTATGAATGTCAAGATATTCAAGTTTAAGCGATTGGTAGATTCTTTTGAAATTTAATAGCAACTATTGCTTCTAAATTTTTTATCTCTTTTTATGATCGTGATGTTAAATCCGTTTTTTAATGCTAGCTTAACGGAGAAAACACCATTTTTACAGTAGAATCACTTAATAATACTCTATGTATCATCCTTGAAATATTTCCTTATAAGAATCAAGATAATATAAGCTGCGTAGTAATGGTATATAGAGTAAAAAATCTTGATGCAGGCCTATTCAAACATATTTTAATTCAACATTGGCCTCAAGAAAGTTTTTCTGAACACAAATCTGAGAAGTCTACCTACATACCATTACTAATAGAGGCACACACTCGTAATAAACGTTTTATGTGTATAATTTACGTTTTAAATGTACTCGTGGGAAGTAGTTTTGTTATGTGTGTAATATTTTAATAGTTTTATTCTTTATTTCTTAAATTCTTATCAATATTTCTTACTAAAAATTTTATGTGCAAATGGAATTGTTTTGCTCTGGAAAAAAGAACTGAAAGCGTGTGTCCCAATCACAACACTTAAAAAAAGTAAGATCAGTAAAATAAAGGTCTTTAAAAGTGTAAAATATAATTTTTTTTCAATGGAAAAACAAGGTATTTTTTATAGAATAAAATGTATTCAAGTACCATTGTATACTGTAGAATCCAAGGGTTATAAGATAAGCTACTTTTTTTGGAATGCTTTGAAACAGTCTACAGTTTTATTTCTGGAACCTTTGTTATTTATTTAGCTTTTTTATTACTTAAAAAATTGAAAATTTTCTTGCCCTTAAGTAATTTCTTTGCTTTTCGAATCATGTCCTTGGGCACATCAAAATGCTGTTTAATTATGTGTTGGTCCAACAACTTGGAAGTAAACTCAGTTACTTGAATTTATTATGCGAGATTTCTCATAAATTCTATTAAAAATCTCTACAGACACTGATACAAGCTTTATTGGTAAGGTTAGCCTCCATATGTTCTTGCAAAATCCTGGTAATATCATAAGCTTTGACATAATTACTGCCTAAGCTTGAATCAGTATTCGTCCTAGCACTAATTATAACTGTAATCTTTAATTAAAGTATATATAAATCGGAGTGAAAAAAGGAGGCCAAATTTTTGCTGTACGAAATATAAAATCAAGCACCTTATGCAGTATTAGACGAAGGATCTATGTTCAGAGTTTCTTTGTTACATAATTTAAAATTTTTTTTTGGCACGCCCAGCGTAAGTAATGATTTATTTTAATTAGGAAATATTGTTTGTATACTTTAGATAGTCTATGTAATCTGTCATTTCTTACTTGACGACCTAATTCTATTCGACATCGTAAGTAAAAATGAAAACACACGATTATTTTAGAGTTGGATAGTCAAATAAGCTTGCAGTTATAAAAAAGTGTGTATTAAATAGCCAGCAACAAAAATACTCCTAAGTTCATTAAAAATCACCTTATTTCCAAGTCTTTAAGTCTAAAAAGTAAAAAGCCGTAACTTTAAATAAGATAGGCTGCGTATATTTTGTGTTCAGTCAGTTTTTTTTAAGAAAATTTATTTTGAATTTGTTGTTCAACTCTGTGTGCATGTGCCAGGGCTTAAACGGAAGCTGATAAGCTCATCAAGCAGATATCAGC